ACACTCAAGGGGCCAAAGAGCCGCATGTGGCTCACGAGCCGCGGTTTGCCAACCACTGCCCTACATCCTTAGATTTCCCAGACCTTTCCCTTCCTCTTCTCACAGGAAACTTTAGATTCTCTCCTGAAAATACAGCATTTCCTGTAGCCTCGTCACATAGCGAGTGGTTTTTCTTCCAAATCCAGCTTCCTCTGGGCCTGAAAATGCAGGAGTGACCTCTTTGCTTTTCATCGCTGCTTCCGGATCTTCGTTTTTTCTTCTTTCTAAATGCCCAGCTCCTGGGAAGCTCAGATACCACCTGCTTTTTCTTAGAGCTTTTCAGCTCCTTGCTCATTGTTTTATTCTCATTGCTGGTACTGTCATTTCCTTAGTGTCCACAGAGACTGCCCACCGAGCACCTGGCCCTTTCCTTTTCTTGAGAATGCCTCACTTCCAAAGATTCTGTCTTCTTGCATCTCAGCATTCCACTCCTCTGTTCAGGCTTCAGATCTTGTTATTACCGAAATAACGCACCACTTCCAAAGTCTCAGTTTTAAGCCTCCCTTTCTCTGCCTTCTACCTCCTGTCATTCTGATTTTGCTTCTCTGTAGGGGAGTAAAAATGAATGTTCTTCTTCAGCCCTGGCCGGTTTGGCTCAGTGGATGGAGTGTCAGCCTGAGGACTGAAGGGTCCCAGGTTCGATTCTCGTCGGGGGCATGTACTTTGGTTGCGGGCACATCCCCGGTAGGGGGTGTGCAGGAGGCAGCTGATCGATGTTTCTCTCTCATCGATGTTTCTGGCTCTCTGTCCCTCTCCCTTCCTCTCTGTAAAAAAAAAAAAAATCAATAAAATTAAAAAAAAAGAGAATGTTCTTCTGGCTATCGTAATCAAATTAACATGAGATAGATTAAGAGGAGAAACTAACCAAATTTAATACATGTGTATACATGGGGGTTCCATAAGAAAATGGGGCCCTAGAAGAGTAGAGGGTTATATGCCATTCTGGAGCAAGGAGAAAGCGGGGAGGATTGTGATTTGGGACTTGAAAGGGCAGGAGGGCAATTCCCACTGAGACAGAAGAGCAAGTGTTTGGCAAATAATGTTTGCGGGGCCATCTTTAACAATGGGGCACAGAGAGGACTTTTACCAAATGGGCTTTGCCAGGTTCCTCACTGTCTATCACACAACATTCATATTAAACTATAGTCATCTATCATGATAGTTCCTTTATGGAGCAGGTTCTCTAAATTCTTTTAGGCATTTAGAGGGAAGGTCAAAGGTTTTTTCCCGAGTCTTCTTTTATTTTTTAAAATCCTCATCCAAGGTTATGTTTATTGATTTTAGAGAGAGAGGAAGGGAGGGAGGGAGGGAGAGAGAAACATTGATTGGTTGCCTCCCTTATGCACCCAGAGTTGTCAGTGGGGCAGAGTAGGGGAAGTGGGATATTTATGTCTCCTGTAAAGTTTAGAGTAACCAGTCGATCCAGGTGTAGGCAGTCCACTGGAAACTGGGTGAGACGGTTTATTGGAAACTGAAAGCTGTGTCATGTCTAGCAAAACCTGAAATGAGAATAATAGGAAAACTGAAGGGAGGGTGAGAGCCCCAAGCAGGGGGTAATTGTAGAGAATATGCCTAACAATAATCTGTAGAGTTGGCTTTCTCTCTCTCTTCAATCCTCAACCAACAATATGTTGCTTATTTATTATTTTTTTAAAAGTAGATTTTTATTGATTTTAGAGAGGAAGGAAGAGGGAGATAGAAACATCAATGATGAGAATCACTCATTTGGCTGCCTCTTGCACGCCCTCTAGTGGAACAAGCCCTAACCCAGGCTTGTACCCAGACCAGAAATCGAACCCAACCAATGTTCAACTACTGAGCCACTAAGGCTGGGCTGTTTTTTATTGATTTTTTTTAGAGAGAGGAAGGGAGAGAAAGAGAGGGCCGGTTCTCTCGTATTATGCAGATTTTTACTGGTGGATCTTACATGTTTATTTTTCAATAAGAATTTTAGTAACACTTAGTCATGGTAAAAAAGGACCCTCTAGCCCTGGCTGGTGTGGCTCAGTCCAGTATGCGGAAAGGTTGCGGGTTCGATTCCTAGTCAGAGCACATACCTAGGTTGCAGGTTAGATCTCCGGTTGGGTGAGTAAGAGAGGCAAACAATCCATCGATAATAATTCTCTCTCCCTTCCTCTCTCTCTGAAAAAGTCAGTAAACATACCCTCGGGTGAGGATTTAAAAAAACATAAAATAAAAAAAGAATTCTGTAGATTGTTAGTTGGGATCATGTAAATAAATTTTAGGAAACATTTACATGTTTACACCATTGAGCCTTTCTTTCTAAAGAAAGGTATGTTTTTATATTTATTTGAATTTTCTTTTATATTCAATACATGTTCTGAGGTCTAGTTGCTAATGTGTCAGGGCCTCATTAACATAACACAAGACATCTTGAGCATGCTCTACACGTAGGATATTCCAAAGGTTTTGGGAGTTCTGAGTCAGGAGCTGTGGAAGACCACAAGCTGTATATATTAGAATTATATTTTGATCAGTCATCTGAATGACCAAATATATATTTTTTATAAATCACAGTGTTGCATATATCCTTCGGTTCGGTTTTCTTCACAAAACCTAAACAGATTTCTACATTTATGCTAAGTGCTTTATTTTATTTTATTTCTCTCTCTCTCTCTCTCTCTCTCTCTCATTTTATGTTATTTATTAT